ATTGAACGCTTTCCTTGAAGTCGACGGGTTAGTAGAGTCCCTAAGCCAGCCAAGAGATTCCAATTGCCGTTTCAATGACCACATACTTTGATCTTCCTTACATGGAGGATCTTGAACAAGCGTTGGCTTGCTCAATATGATGCATGTCTCCAATGCATCATCTAGCAACATAAATTCATTGTTGTTGATTGTTGCAAGATCTTTTGCCTCTAACCATCTTGCAGCAGGCCAAAAGGAAGTGGAAAGCGGAATCGGCAGTGAGGATGCAGCGGCTTTCTCCCCAACTTTGATGATGTTGTGCCTTGGTTCCAACAGGACATGGGACAGTAACTACCTGGAGTCAGTCGATGTACATTTGATTACATGTCCAAGCTGAGCACATCAATGTGACATCAGATATTCCCAGGTTCTCCATCTCAAGGTCTCCAATGCTAGACGCAGCAAATTGAGTCCGGTAGTTCACAGCATGAAATTGACATATGCGAGTGGGATCTGTCTTGAAGAAAGTGTCTACGTCGATCTCTGTTGGGTAAAAGCCAGTGAATGAAGCACAGAAGTCAGCAGGCAGCGCTGAAGGATTTGGCGACTCATCACAATCAACTGCGACTCCATCCAAGGGCCCGGCCACTGCTTTGCCAATCACAACTACGCCAACCTTTTCAAACCAAGGATCTGGGTCATCTGACCACTTCATGACCTTCTGCATGTATTGCTTTCTTGCTGGAGTGAATGAAAGGAGCTGGATCAGCAGAAAGTTTGTGCTTCCATCACAACTGACCTCCGTTGGCACTCCATAGTACTCCCCAACACAAAGCACACTTTTCAAATGATTCAACCACTCCATCACGTGCTTGCCAGTGTTGTTACCAACAACCTGAGCTGAAATCAGGCTCTGCTCTTCTGAGAGGTCTCGGAACATTATCTCCATGTGGTACCCTGAAACCAGCCGAGCCAGTTCTCTACGTGAGTGCCAAGGCGTGTCCACAAGCTTGTGGAATTCCAATAAGTATCGTTCAAAGTTTTCTCTGAAGTTTGGCGACTGAACATCTGAGTTCAAAGCACGCCTCAGATTGCTACTCAAAGTGGAAGGAGTAGAGTTTCTGGCTATGCTGAGCCTTTGGTTCACCAAATGGTGCTTGGCTTCTAACCTCTGCATACATGTGAGGGTGGCTGCATAACCAAATAGTTCCATGAGTAGGCCTGGGTCCATGTCAGCATCATTTGTCGTTGCCCACTTTCTCAAAGCAACTCCAAGCGGCTCTGATGGATCCAAAAACCTAGAAAACTCCCCGCACTTCTGATGCAAGCCCCTGTCAAATTCCCCCACCAGTTCAGCAGCAAAGGCTTTGCTCCTCGCGGCTGCTGCTTCATGTTGTTGACAGAAGAACCAAAGGATCTTCACAATATTCCAAGGGTATGTGGTTAAGTACGAAGTGGCTTGTCGGAATCGTAGAGCCACTGCATGTTTGGCTGTTTGGAAAGACTGCTTGAGAGAAGACACTGCCTCAAGGTCGAACTGCTCAAGGGTAGCCAAAGCATCCATGGTGTTTTTGGACTCATCCAAACGTAGTGAAATCAACTTGTGGAATTCATTCATTTTCCCTCCAGCTATCTCCACTAGCCGGCGGCCTGTCCACGGGCATGGTTGCCTCAATTGTTTCCGCTCCTCCTCTGAATGACATGGGCAGCTGTGCAACCAATTGTAAACGTCAAAACCGAAAGAATGTATTTGCATCTCAACCCAGAGAGTTGCCCAGAACTGGGCAGATGCCTTAGGCTCTGCCACCAAACGCTTCAAAGCATTACCTTCTTCATTGGACATATCGTCATCATGTGCAATCATATGTGGCTCCAAGTACTTGAAAAAGGCTTGCCTTTTGCTCAGCCATCGAATAACTTCATATTGGTACAACCAGCGGTGCGGACACAGGCTTGGGCAGGCTGACTCAAACATCGCTTCCAGCGATTTCTTGGCTCTTTCTGGGATGGAGTCATTTTGCCAAATATATCGTTTCACAAAAAGGTCAAGAGAGTCCCTCTTCCCAAACAATTTTGATAAGCCAGATAACTGTTTGAAGAACAAATCCCAATTGTCATAAGCGAGAGATGTCTCTTCCATACAATGATGAAGCCCATGATCCATGTCTGCAATCGGCAAAATGTATGGGAAATATTTCTGGCTTGGGTCAGAGAAATTCGGGATCGACCATAAGGATGATTCCGTCCCCATGTCAGTCATGAGGGATCGCAGACGTGACTGAGCAATACCATCGTTGCTCTCCAACTGGAGCATACGCTCACACGACTTTGCTTTGAAGGCTGCAGATGTAGATTGTTTACCCAATACTTGAATCGGTAGTAGTCGGGTAGATATTTGCACACTTTCAAACCTCAGTGCGACGAAGCTCAACTTCAACATTGCCCTACTTGTACCTTTAAAGGACAGCAAAGTTCATTGTATGTCTCAAATTACACATGTCCAGTCAACAAACAAGGGTATTCTGGCAGAGTTCAGGTCGCATCTTGCAAGGATCTGGACGGCCCAAAAAGCTAACACGGTCAAGTTCTGCTACCAAATAGTTCTTCATGTACTGGGGCGATGAGTCAAGGCGAAGATGTCCGAACCAGTTCTCGGAAGGTTTGTATATGTATTCCCTTGCAAACAACATGCATGCCCAGTCTATATTCACCCTGAATGTAAAGAGCAGCGATCTCTTTGGAAGCTTCCAAGCCTGACGAGGTCCAGAAAGGGCGTAAAGTGTAAACCAGTGTAAACACCATGTTTGTAAGCAAACAGAGGCTGGCCTGGGATAGGAGGTGCTCACGAAGATCAGGGTGCAATATCAAGCTCAGCCCCCTCAGATGCATGCATGGCCCCACTCAAGATTTTGCCGGAACCTAGCCTGTAAAAATTAGATCTGCAGAACAATAGACAATGTTCACTGTACTGTACACTGATAATTGTTGCTATGGTGCTTCTGGAGCGCGTCTTGCACAGAATCTAGATCTGTCTTCAAAGGTCTCAAGCAATCAGTGAACGTGACAGCATCCAGCATAAAAATGGGGTGATACTGAAACCCTCCCCGCTTGCGTGAAGTTTGCCCGTTTGTTGTCTTGAAGCGGGTGCGGAGGTCCAGTGTAACTGTCTTGGCTGTTTCACAATCCCCTGCTTCGAGCGATTGCAGAATGTCATCCAACAAAGACTCAATGACGGTCTTTTGTTGTTGATCATCTCCATTCGATCGCCCTTTTGGGACCAACTGGTGAAAATTCTGAAGTGCATTGTCCATTAGTACCCGAACCTTCAGGGGTATCAATGAATATACTGAACACATTTGTCACTAGCAAAAATTAACATCGCTAGATCTGCAAATCAACCTTTGCAACTGCCCAACCTTTGCCAAATCTACTGCTGGAATTGGAACTTCCAGTTTCTCAGCATAGTGAGAAGGCAATTCCGAAAGATGCAAACCTCCGGCAACAGTCAAAGAAGAAGAAGCCTGCGTAGTGGCACACTGGTTGAAATGACTACAATGTGAGCAACTGATATAAACACGGAATATAATTAGCAACCAACAGCACAGAACTAATTTCATACTGGCAACTACCATTCGCTCAAAGTGCATGATGTCTGAATGAGGCAGTAACGACCAATTCCTCCTTCCACGACTCTCTACCGTGGACAGAATAGGAAGATCGAAGGGGACCGCCACAAGGAGTGAGTGAAAAGTACGACGATATCTCTCGGTCGGATGATTGTTGGTCTTCACATACATCAGCTTGGTGTATGTCCTCAAAAAAGAAAATATGTGATCAGTGAATCCAGAAAACAGAAAACACTAGCACAACTGAATACAAGTAATTGTTAAGACTTATGACAGTGTACCCATCGCGCCGTTGAACACACCAGGCATATTCTGGATCGTTCTGGCCAGCACGCACAAGTGAGTCCATTGCATTCGCAATCTTCCAGGTCACATGAAGGGAAAAGAGAATATAGTTTATGGCTTAAGAGACACATTGTTCTTGTATGTTTGTATGATTTGGTTTATCCACTACCATGAGCTATTATCAGCTGTGGCTGTGGCTTGACAAACTTGTTTTTGAACTTGAGCCCACTTTTCTGAAATCATGTGTGCTTGCTAGGAGCAACGTCCCTATAGATTCCAAGTGCTTATGTTTTTTTGATTGAATATGCTGCAGCCTGTTTGTCGAACGCGCGACACCAACATATTTCATATACTCACGAAAACTCGTTAAAATGACACTCATCTATATACAAGCTGAGTTAAGTTACAAGTTGTGCCTATACATCATTTTCTGTTTTTTATAGCCTAAATCCAAATATATCAAAAATCACCTGCGTTTATTATAGCCAATTCTGCTGAAATACCCTCGTTGGATCTAGTAGTGGTGACATCAATGTATTTATTATATATCGAATCATCTCTGCCATTGACCAAGGATGATCTTATTGCAACCCTGTAGCCAGTTTTTCATTTCTTTGTATATATCCAGCATCGCATCTTGCAATTCCACCGGAATTCGAAGTCGTTAATTATATAATGATAAAGGTAAATGAAGACACTTGGCAGCTGGGCATTAATCCAGTTATCGTCATCAAGAAGGCCGCAAAAAAACTTGAAGGTCGGTCTTTGCCGGGTCGATGATGACTGGCGTCTTCCACTGCGTCCAATGGGATGGCTGATGGATGGATGGGTTGATAAATACGGAAGTCATCCCCTGAATATAGATGTGTGATAGCCGGTGATGGCCACTCGGATCAAAATCTGTGGAGCATACCCAAATCACACCGTTAAGCAAAAATCAGTCGTTTCTGACAACTACCATTTTTGTCCATCGAAGCATCAGAAACTAATACAACAACCCAATCGTACTAGCATATGTTAGCCGTCTAGGTATTATATATATAATTTTATACAACAGAAAGTGCTAAGGGCTTACACAAAGGCAAATGGGCCAGCAGGGAACATCAAGTCCTCGGCATGACTGTAGCTGATGATCTCATCGCTGGTGCCGTGGACAATGTAGACTGGGCACTTGACCTGTCCTGGGCGACAAAACCGTCGAATTCCACCGGTCGAGACGAAATTGAGGGAAACAAATGCGCAGGCGCCTGGAATTGAATCGAGACGGTTTGTGGGGTTCTTTCATTGACATTCCTTGTTTCGACGCTTCTGCCCCGAACTCACGAGGTTTGGTGGACTTTGATCAAACCGAAACCTGCATGGGCGCCGTCCGCGAGCGGCGTGCGGCGACCCGCCGGGCGAGCCGTTGGGGTCGAGTCGGAATCGACGTCTTTTTCTGCAAACAGGCCCAGTATGGCCCAGTGGTTGCCCTGGAGTACTGAAATTCTCACTTATCCATGGTTCACTCCCCAATGGGTGGCCCAAGAAATCTGACACCAACGATGCAAACTTGGGGAAATCTTGAGACATTGGTGCAGGCAGAGACCACTATATATACCGAGTGTTGCAATGGTGTGCTGCTTCCAGATGACGCGAATGCAGTCTGGGAAGTAGGCATGCATGGTTGCGTTGTACAAGACCAAGACACCCCGCTTCCGCTGAAGTGAGTAGGTACGGTTTGAAGTGGTCTTTTGTTCTTGGTTTGATCTCCGAACATTCCAAGACTCCAACGACCGCCGACGATTTCGTACCCGAACGAGACCGTACGCAGGACGGTCTCGTTCGAAGGACGTACGGGGGCGACTGTTCCGGTTGCAGGAAGGTTGAACACGGCCACGCTTGGACTTTTGGGGAACCGGAACAGCCCCAGTTCGGTCCAAGCATCCAATACGATCCACGTTGGGAAACATATCCTGAGTGCCAAGGGCTTGCCAGAAGCGCCGCCCGTTTTTGGTCGTGCAGAACTGGTGTCTCCAGATTGACACATCTTCAGCGAAGGTCAGTCGCAAGAATCTCAAGGCCCGGCAGTCTGATCTTTGCGTCTTCAACCTCTGAACCGTGACAGTATGGCTGAATGTCATATACTACTGGAGCCCCGCCTCTGAGGATTCACACACACACATCAGAAATAGAAGTAACACACCTGAAGCTCCGGGCAGGGAGACATGCCCCCGAAAAGGTCAAGCCTTCTAACGTGTCTTTCTTAGATTCTTATGGTAGAGGTGCCATTTGTGGAAGGCTTCTAAATGCTAATGGTAATGGTAGTGGCAATGCTAATGGTAATGCCACTCACCCTGTGACCTGTGGGAGTTGGATGCCTTTTCACCCTGTGAACAAGGTGGAACAAGGTGGAACCTGGAAGAGCAAGTGTTCACAGAAAAAGAACTGCAGCACTGCCAACCTTCATCCCAGCTGAAGCCCTCAGTCCAACTTGTCCGTGACCAGGCGACCGAGGGAGTCTCTCAGCTAGAGATGCGGGAAATCTTCGCCATTGCCGGCGAGAGGTGTCTCCAAGTCACACCATCCAGTAATCTCTTCTTGAGTCCAAACCCTGATAGAGGAGTGTATCCACTTCTATAGATTCTAGTGCCTTGACTTTCTATCTCCTTTAACCCGTGGGGGGCAGTCGAATCCTTGCCGAACTTCTCCCAGTGTCGTTGCCACCCTTGCCGAACTGCATTCGCTACCGAGGCGCACCGGGTAACGTGAAGCTTGAGGAGAAGGCCACACGGTAGATAGACAGCAGGGGGGCCTCATCGCAAGGCTTTCCAATGCCTCCCTAGAGTAACCTGAGCCGCCCACCTCAACCTACCAACCATCCAGGAGATGGCCTGGGAAAACGGGCATTGGACTTCAAAATGAGGTCTGGTCTCCTAAGAAAAAACAAGAAAATAGAGAAAAAACATATCTATTAAAAGAAAACAGTGACAAATCACAGAGACAATCAAAAACAAACCAAACCACTGACATACCGGAAAAGACACCAAACAAAAACACAGTGTCCGAAAACAATGACACCTTTTCATATGGACGTAGCGCGTTCTAAACCAAAATTTAATCTCACGCGTTCCAAAATGAGATCAATCTCGCGTTCCAAAACGAGGGGTTTCCTATAGCTACTGCGATAAGGAGGCTGCTGGCCCAATGGCCAAGAAAAAACCAGGAACCATCCTCTTGGAGTGCTTGGAGCTCACAAGATGTTTTGTCCGTCTTTTTTCACAATTCTTCTATCCGTCTCCTTTTGCTCTAGGTCTTTGGGGGTGATCAAGAAATCATATTGTCTAGGTCTTTGGGTTGTCTATAGTCGGTTTTTCAACGCCTCTCCACTTCATCAACCTCCCCATCCACCTCCCCAGCCCACGGGTCCACGCGCAGCACGAGCTGCTCTGCAGCACCATCGCGCGCACGGCGGTGCGCGTGGCCAGGTGGATCGAAGGTCCCGAACCGATGGAGCGGCCGTAGAGGACGATTTCACCTCGGCTGAGCTGAGCTGTTGCGGGTGGACTCGGCTGTCGCGTTTTTTTTGGAGCTACAACACTCTATGAACTTGAGTGGTTTGTGTTAATGCTTAAATTAGTGAAACCCCTAGGGCCCCTTATGAAGTTCAATATTAACGCTCATTCCTAGCTAAGGCATGCTATGGCATTTTTGTTCAAGGGTGCCCAAGGCATGTTCTTGTTGAGTGGCTTTGTAGTTTAAAGAGTGCTTTCAATTTGGTTGCTTCAGTGCTTCAACCCCATGCTTTTGAGCTTGGAGAGGACGCTGAATAGAACCAAGGTCACAATGGTCACATTACGAACATGGAACATCAGAAATCTCTTCAGGTGAAACATGTATTGGCCAAACTCGTATGTAGAACATGACATTGTTTGACCAGGTTCCATTGGGATCATGGCTTTTGCGCCAACAATCGCCTGCCATGTTGCTTTACTGTGAAAACATTGATCATCAACACTTTCTCAGCAGCGGATGTTTTTTTTGAACTGGGTAGCAAAAAAAATGAGCCGCAATGCCAAATCATGGCAGGAGCAAAGTCTTACCTTGGGGCTGAGTCCACGAGGACAATGGTTGGAATGGTTTAACGGTTAGAAGTTCCACAACTAACGATGTATATATATATATAATATTGGGATGATAACCTTGTGTCTGTGCAAGAGTTGGTTCTACAACACTGCCCCCCTGCAAAAAGGGTACACATACCGTATCACCTCACCGGGCCGACCAGCGTCAGGGCTGAACAGTCGGACGACGTCGTGACGAGTCGCTCCAAGGGATGCCAACGATGTCTCTCAAGTACTTGAAGGCCGCCTCGATGTCCGCATACAAGGCCTCTTCACCTGATATGTGGCAAAAAAAAAACACATCGATGTTGAACCGTGGCCTTCAGAGGCCCCGGGCCCCGTGAGGTGAATTAGAATTGCGAAGGTGCGGTGGACACGTGGATGTTCCAGCAGACTGGTTGAAAAAACAAGTGCACTCGACATGGGCCCGGAGTCACCATGAGTGACCCACATAGGTGTGTTTTTGGTCAATGGGGTGAATCGACCGACCTTCTTGATTGTGGCCATTGTCTTCAGACGTTCTGTTTTTTCCGCATGAAGGTATCAACCCAACAACACCTAGAGCCACGGATTCTGAAATTAAAGCTTGCATACATACATTGTGCATAATACTGTGATATATAATATATATACTGTATAATACTGTATATATATATATATATACACACACTCCACACCCTTTGGCTACCAAGTTGTTGAACCATTTCGACGCTCGTCTTCAACGTCGGTCTTCACCGCAGAAACCGCCGTTGCGCAGTTCGCCGGGCGACTGGGCGTTCCAGTGCTCATGCCGTAGCCTGTGTAGTCATAGGCGAAGATGTTCACATCTAAGATGTGGCTCACCTCACCTGATCAATGTCTCAACCGGAAGATCTTGCGGCGTTTCACCCGGACCGGTCGGGTGTGCTTGGTGTTGGTGTTGTCACTTGTTTGTCGTTTCCAATCCCACATTGAAATCGACGGAACACCTGGAGACGCGGTAAGATGTGTTTGTGCAAAGAGTTCCATCTCTCAACAGTGTAGTTTTTGTTCCTTTTAACACCATCGAAGTGGAGTGATGGATGCAACAGTTTGGAGTGGAGGCAAAGGAAAAGCAATCGGCTGGAGGCCAACAGGTTGCAACTCCACAGCTGATTGTAATTCGCTTGTGGAGAGGGTGCAAGTGCTGAAGCACACCCTAAAAGTTCGAAGCAAAGATCCATGTGTAGGCGTGTGGGCATGTTTAGGTACCAGCCACATTCAGAAATATATCCTCAGTTTGATGCCCCTCGCACTGGAAAACCCACTGAACGAAACAAATGATGAACGAAACTGTTACGGCTGTTTTTTTGGTTGCACAGCAATTTGTATATATTGCCATTGCTTCTTTCTTCCTGTGCACAGGCAGGGTTGCAGGGTTGCCTGGGATACCCCAAAAGTGATGGATGATTATTGTCAGGCTTGTTGGTGCAGGTCAGCAACAACCAGGCAGCAGGTTGATCCACACGGAGGCCATGTTCCAGGAATGAACAACTCAAGGTTTCGAAACAGCTCAGTTGCTGGGTTTTAAACAGTTTATAGCATCAGTGTTCAAACAACTTGCAAACGCACCAACAAGTCAGATTTTCTCGTCCCAATCAAGATCCTCCCAAAAACAGCAGGCTTCATGATCGAGGAGCGGAAATATTGAATGATCATTCCTTGGAAGCAAGGATCAAACACAAACATATCCACATCACTTGATGAGTTGATGAGGTAAGGACCCCAGTGATGTTAAGAAGTGCAATGCCAACTTAGGGAAATTCGTGGAAATTCAAACATGTGTTGCTGGATTTGCATGGTTTCAAGGCCCAGTTGGAGTCTATGGTCTATTGGGCAGGGTTCTTTGATCACAAACCTTCCTTCAAACGGGTTGAGCATTGAATCGACATGTTGGATTGACACTGGGAGATAGATGCGAGCCAGCTGGAAACTGCAATCTACCCCCCAAACAAAACAACAACAGGCGCCACATACATGGCCGAAAGAGCAATTGAAACCCTAGGTCAACCCGCTCCTCATATAGGGAACCTGCACCATCCTGCACCCATTGTGTCACTTGCAATTGATATGATATGTTTCAGAACTACGCATTGAATGCCTTGACAACATCCGGAGAAATTGTTGACATGAGTGGTCAACCATTCTTCTTGCACTCAGCGAACGAGGCTTTCAGGAACCAATGCTGCCAATACCACACCTCGAGCCTCGAAATGCACCCCTACTAGCAGGCAAACTGCCCTAGAGGAACTGGTAGCATCATTCGCGGATGTCTCATTCCAGCCATGTAAGGACCTGGAAGACTAAAAGAGAATAGCAAACCAATGCAAAACTATTATTGCGTGTATCATCCAATTCACATAGCCATTTTGTGGCAAGGGTGATTCATTCGATTCCAGGCTTCCCAGATCCTCTGCATTGCCATGGCTGAAGAGCAGTGTATACCTGGCATCTCGATCGATGAAGAAGGCAGGGATCACCTCAATGGCTTCGGACGGAGTTGCCAGCATCGAAGCTTTGGACCAAACTACTGTATCCACATTATACGTATGTTTGAGGGCACCCTGTGACTAGAGTCCAACAAAAAATGAACAAACAGCTGACCATTCAGCACCAAAATGTTGATGATCAGTTGGACATGGATGAAAAGTAGGCTCAGAGAGGTCCAGTTAGGCTCGAAAGGGGAGACATGAGCTATACAGTTGAAGGGCTCCAGAAACGAGAAAGATCATACAAATATGAACAACAATGCATATGCTTGTGTCTTCCAAGTGTTTGCATCTACCACGATGTCTTCTCATTGCTACAGAACAAATTCATGAGGATGTAGCCAAAATTGGTCCACACGGTGAATCCACACATTAAGGTTACAACTCCCTAGGGCTCCAAGTACCTCCTCAGAAGGTATTTGGACCTTCATACACCTTCAAAGACGGTACTTGGAGCCCTAGGGACTTACAACTCCTCACAATTTCGGATCTTCTCCTCAAAGTCGTTGCGCCCTGGAAGCCCAAGACTTCTGGCCCAACGAAAAGGGGCCCAACGACTTCGGGCGCCCTTTAGTGCCAAGTTGCCTCATGTTCGGAGGTGTTCAGCCAAATGAGATTGGGATCCTTACACGCTGATAGATGCAAACGATGCAACTCTTTAAAGCCCCTTTCAATGAAGAGGATCTGATGACGCTTTAAAAATAAGTGACACCACCTATTACTTCGGATTAAAAAAGAACGGTGTGTACCTTTTCTGAATGTCAAACATTGAAACATGGCAACAAAACATCCTGCACATGTTCCACCCAAGTCAGATCGGTAGGCTCAGGGGGGAGCGGAGCAGGATCGCCAAGCTTCGCGGGTGTAGGTGGCCGGCTGGGGAGGTTGGAAAACGATGCGCGTGATCGCGCCCCCCATGGCGAGCGCCCATAAACACAAGCAGATTTCAGGGCTCGTGAGGTCTAATTGGGAAGGTATGTTGACCCGTATCACTACGTTGACTTCATATACATTCAAATACAACAAGCACGTTTACAAGGACCAAGAACCGGCTAAAACATGTGTGCACGTCAGGTAAAAGTCCATTGGTGGACGTGCTTCATTCTTCTTTTCGCTTCTCTGTATAGTTTACCTTGCTGCTAGTCCCAAGCCCGTAGAAGGATCTGTTTCTCTTATTTGGCCTTCTGCCCTGCGCATGTGCTGTCTTCCGGGTGGTTCCATGGTCAGTTGGTCCTCTTCTGCTCTTCTATAGCGAAAGGTACAGGCACTGGGCTTTGGCAAATCAACTACAATTGTCGATCCAAGAGCGAGTGATTGTTCACCCTCAACAAACACATGTGCACTGCCACGATGTCTACAGCAGCTAAATCTAGTGCTTATCTAAAGCCAGTGCCGTTGTCGGCAATTTCCACACGTCAGCATTTGAGGATAAAATGGCAACTAGTTTGCTGATGCCCTGTTATCAGCAAAGCCTCTCACTCACTGGAAGCCTTAGCCGATGTTCAAGTTCCGGCTCCTGATGTAGACTGTTGATTTTATAATCAAACCCTCATATGGAGTTTTATAAAAGTATTATTATGCTTTTAGGGGTAGCTCAACAAACATGAATTAGCATCGTCTATCAACCCTAAACCAGAACCAGAACGCGTCCCTTGAACGTTCAGGTCGATCCTCAAGTTTACCGCTGTCACCATCTCCTTGCGGAAGGGATCACATCCTCGATGAACCAAGGAATTTGACATACAAATGCAATCACTTTGCTGTGTTTGTTGTTTTTGCCTCTGGCTGTTGCAAAGCTTTGGACCTTGAAGTCTATTTGTCCAACCTGAACCAATTACAACATCAATGGATTCCAGCAACACATCACAGCCAGGGGTGACTATAAATCATCTTGTCAATGTTCAACCTGGACGACCATAAATACTTTGTATGTATATACACAGTTCCTTTAATATCAACTGTACCACCGAATCGAACCATCACTTTTAGCAGGTTCAAATCCTTGTTCGCTATATAGTTTAGTATCGGTATGCAACATATACGTATCACATATACATGTTGTCTACAACAAGTTAAAGACTGGTCGCTCAAACAGCACCTCAATGCCAGGCACCAACGGGCACCAGGCCCTGGCTGTCCTAGAGCCAAGCTCTTGGGAGTCAACCCGAAGGGGCATGTTTTGCACATTCGTGATATTACGGAACATTGTTGTCCAAAGAAGAGTAGAGAAACGCTGTCGAAAAAAACCAGGACGAACTAAAGAACAGCAACAATAACACGCTTCATTTGACCGAAGGAACCAAATGGTTTCTTTTCTTGACACAAACAATCAGTGCAAAACCAGCAACCAATCTGATGGAAACCAGTCCACCGCTTTCCGGCGTTGTCCACCGCTTCACCCGACCGAATTCCGGCATTCCAGATCCCTAGCTGCTAGCCCATGCTGAGCACTCCGTTTTGGAGACCCAAAACTCCGTTTTAAGGTGAAAAACCATAAAACACAGGTGTCCTGAGGGAAAAATGGTGTTCCCAGTGGCAACGGGGCTGTCCACTTCCAATTCGAGTCAACAGGTGTTGGTTGGTGCGTGGTTGGTTGGTTGGTTGGTCCTGATTGGTTGGTCCTGATTGGTTGGTTGGCTGGTTGGTTCACCTGCGCTACACAGGTAATTTGGCACTCCTTGGTCCTTTGGTTGCTTAGTACTCGTTCCTCCCATCGAAGCACAAACGGCAGAAACCCGCTGGTCGCCTGGCCAATGTGAGCCACCGCCACCGCAGCAGTGCAGCCCAAATAGGGCCGGTGGTCCTGGCAAGGAGTCGATTGAGAGGTGACATGATCCGAGTCAACCCCGCAAACTAACATCGCAACCGGCTTGAAAAGGAACAGCATGCTTATGAGGTCCAGATATATGGCAGTCCAAACTTACTTCTTGAGACGTGCCAAAAGACCGGGAAGGGAAGTTGCGCATGGTTGTATATATATATATAGTATAATATAATATATATATATATATTATAGCACAGCTGAACAAAAGGTGCCTTTGTGCAAGTATGTGTGTGTGTCGGCCTTGGTCTCACAGCCAGTGTCCGTCTGCTTGCATCTGCCACCAAGCAGGACTCCACAGACTCAGACCGTGTCCGCTTCCCGCAAATCTGTCACCCCTACACCAGCAACATGAACTCAAATCAGGGAGTAGGCATATGTCTGTGCTGTTTTCCTGCACAAGCTGCAAATTCTCCCCAAATCGTAGCCCCTAGCTGTAGACTCAAATTCTTCACCGTTGCCAAAGAAGGAGTATACTAAAACTGACCAGAACTTGTCGATCCGATAAACACCCATTGGTTGTGGGCATTAAAACAGGAAACAAACAGCTTGCAGTTTCGATGTGCTGCAAGAACTCCCTGCAGCTCCCGATCTGCCCAGCCTGCCCTGCAGCTGATTAAGTGCGTAACATGCGTCTTCGTATGTGCAGCTCCTCATCACTCCCTCCCAACCGCCAGACCTTCAGTTGGAGTCTGAAACAAATAGCTAGATATAGCTAGTATGTCTCCCTCGCACCTGGCAAATCCCGCCAGCTCCCAAATCTCCATGGTAAAAGGTTCACATGACTATGTTGATATCACATAAGCAGGCTCAGGATTAGTAGAGTCATACATAATTCCCTGCTGAACTTGATGAAACTACAGTAAGTAAACAGGCAAATGCCCACGGTGATCTTCGATCAAGTTCGATCCCGGTTCCATCCAAGGTTGCCTCCACCAGCTGTCCATCTGCGCGGTTGTGAAGGAGGTCCATCACTAAAGACGCAAACTCGGCGTGCGGGTCAAGGGCAGGAACAAAGCCAAGTGTCCAGAACATCCCAGTGAAGGGGATACTGCGGCTCTTGGAAGAACATCCTCCCATTAGGGGGGTGAACATCACTTTCATGCTTGGAGGAAATGCATTTAGCAACATCAATGTTGGAATAGTTGGTTGTTCATCCACCAGCTGGTTGCTGCATGTCGTTTTCTTCTTTCAGTTCCAACGGGACCATAACAGCTAATTAGTAGGAGAAAACAGGATAAACGGAGTCAGGAGCAAGGGACCTTCCAAAACCACATTACCCTCCCGCGGGGGACTCAGGGATCCCACCTGCAAACTCAGAGTCTGCCCAGTTGGGAAGCCGAAGCAGA